CTGTATATGTCTACATCAGTAAATACTTACGTCCTATGTACTGTCTGGCGTTCTTTTTTTGTTTTTCTTGGATCTATAACGTACACTATATCCCCCCTCCTTTCCTTTTAGTTTCTAGCGAGACACGAGCGTACTTGACAGAAATTCTGAGCTGGTGAATATGCTTGCAATGGCGCCGGAGAGTGTTGATCTTTGCAGTGTGGAACGGACAGCCTGGACTTGGGCACGAGACGTCACTGCCGGAGGCAACAGGAACCCGAATAGGTGTTGGCAACACTGGTGGACTCCATGAGTTGTCAGAAAGTCGAGTGAGATGAAAAGGGGGACACTGTTGATGTCGTCAATTTTTTCCGTGAGGCAGAAAGTGGACAAAAACAAGAGCCAATCAATTGGGAGATGTTTTCAAACTCAGCGGGGTGGGTAGGATTTTTAGTTTATCTCTAAAAACAAACCACCCCAGAGGATGAATGGGTGGGGGGATGGGCAAATTGGATTATTCCCTACCCCAAAAACCACTATGAGCCCTGATTACCACGTCATGGTACATACCTTTAACTGAAACCATAGATCGTACTTGCATCCCAATAGTTACAATTTTCCTCAAAAACAGAATCATTTCCAGCGTTGATGGCAGTATACCGTGCCGCTGCTGTCCAAGTGTCACCCTGGCCATGCTGAAAAAGCGCTCCACAGCGTTCAATGTAGGCGGAATAGTAATGATGCTCCCGCACGGCACTTTGTTCAGCTCGAGGCGGCGCCTCTTGCAATGCCACTCGACGAACGAAAGAGTCTCGTCCTCGGTGTCCGAGTTGATGTCGGTATTTGCCGGCTTCGCAAACGGTAGCTGCGCCGCATTCTCAGCACGTGTCACCGCGTGTCCTGCCGAATGATTGGGCGGAGTTCAGTTTTTCAACTTTACAAAAATAGACGAAAAATTCAATTTAGTTTTTTGTCAATAAAATTAATAGTTGAAATGAACAGCAAAATTTATGATATGTCAAAACACAAATTGAACACGAATTCTTACCGAAGTTTGGCAGATTGAGTAAGTATCCTCAGCTTGATCATTAAGATCTGTACTGTTGTCAAATTACATTCATGCTGTGCCAAGTCATGTTGCACGGCTCGGTTCAGCCGGTGGCTGGAACGTCCGACTAGCGGGACTTCCATTAGCGTAGCGTGGCCATGTAGTTGTCCCCGACGAGAAAACCTACACTGCTCGGTCTGAACTCCGTAGTCTCCAGGTAGCACTGTAGCCGAGTCCCTGCTGATAGATCATCATTCGGGAATCGTTTAAGAGCGGAGCCATTGTTAGAAGCACAGTTACGAGCTCATCGCTCCTCTAAAGCAGACAAACCAGGCTACATAGTTCTCGGACGCTTGCGGTATTTCGTCCATCATGACACCAAAGTGCCTGGGTAGCTCCCAGGCAATAGTACGCTCTACGGTTCGCGTCACTCCACTCACACCCAGGCATAGAGTCTCCTCCGATATGGGGTCCAAATTTGAGTATCTGAGTAAATAATAATGTTATCAAAATCAGAATCAGCCATATTTGATAATTATAACAGGAAATGCCACCCACCGTCTTGCCGCGCGACGCTCGCAAAACGAGAATGGGAGGTTGAATTCGATGATCCATTGCATCCAGCCAGCCATACAGGTTCCGGGACGAGTGGGAAACGAAGTTGAGCACGGAGCCAGTCTCAGCCGTCGTAGCTTGTAGCATAACGCTCTCATGGCCAGGGAACTGACGCAGTACGTGTTGCATCAGGGTGTAATATCCGCTCCGGTTGGTTTGCTTGCGGACCGCGCCGCAGCAACAGCGGGAGTACTCCAGAACTGCCTCGTCATACTCATTGCGGTACGGTCTAAAGTAGAAACCCGTGACTTTGGAGTTGGAGAACGTAGAGTCGGGGCGGACATCGCGAACCATGGTCGTGTAGTAGGTGAGGAGATGTTGGGCTTTAGAGGACAATGAAAACTGAAAGAGAGGCTCGATCAGCTTGAGGCGACCTGCCGCCCAAAAACGACTGGTTGTAAGGGTGAGTGGATGCCAGAGACCATAGATATAAAATGATCCGTAATAAATTATGATATCCTCTCTATTGTTATGTATCAGTTATCACATACCCAAGTTGGAAATGTCAAAATTCATAATATAATATATGTTGTTGTAAATAATGTTATACAATGCATATTTCGGAGGCCCTGTTGACAGGGAGGACCAAGCGAACGATGCAGCGTCGCGACACTATGAATAACTATCGGGGCCACCAAGGTACATTGGCCAGCTTGGTGTGAAGCCAATGTCTCGCGCGTAATGCCAAGTCAGAGCATTGTCTTGTTTCTTCTGGATGGTTTTATGATT